ACCATTCTATGATTCTATGTTTATATGAAAATTGAAACAAATCCAAGTTCCACCTGTTGAGTTCCAGCTGCATAGATCTTGCATGCTGCTCAATCCCATATCATTCATTAAGGTTTTAAAGCAATATCTCAAATGAAATTTTAGAAGTGCATAGTGTCTGTGGCAACAAGCAGGTGCTGGTAACTATGAAATATTATCTCAAATTATCTAACACGTAACTTCACAGGGGGGAGGTTACCAGTGTTTTGGGAATATACGGTATGCTACTGTATTTACTAGCACTCCTTCACTGTGTCATTTATTAATTATATGTATCAAGAAAAAATTATCTCACCACAATTCTCAGTTGTATCATCGCATTTCAAATAGGTTCACTATTATGTATAAAACCCTGGTATGTCAGAATTTTCACACTTTTTTATCAGTGTTCAATGAGGATTTTGGGGTAGAGCTTTGCCTCTCTATTTACACAGCTGGAGGAATCACATGTCCTGGCATGGTGAATGGATGTATTAAATACATCTCTATGGTATAGTTACTATCGCCCTGTTTTTCGGCTTTTCATACTCTATTCAGGCAGCTGGGCAATGCCGTATACGTGTGACCTACTGTTTTGTTATTACAGTGTCTTGATATTGCAGTAGTTGATACCTGGTAGATATCCACTTGTTTTATCCACTTTTCTAACACTGCCACTCAGAATTTAATAATACAAGAACCAGCAGGGGAATGAGGTTATTATCAATAGAACAGAGGGTTTGGTTTGGTAGAGGACAGCAAAGCTTGGAGAACAGAGACGTCAGAAGGTGGTATAATCCCTTTGATTTTCATATTAGAGTAACGTCTGAAAAAGATAATATAAAGTGGGAAATTGTGGGTCAAAAAGATCCCTACATTTGCACACCACAAAATCAGTATGATAGGCAAGAAATTATTTTGTTATTAATTTTTATGATTCACAAAATCTCAGTTATTTGCCTTTGATTTTGGTTTTCAAACAAATTATGTCATTGATTACTTGTTTGCAATATTTGATATATGAAGTAATGGTAGGTCAGTTGAATGATGTATAATGGGTAACTAGGAGTCCTAGAGAGAAAGCTATTAAAGTTTAGTCTGACTTGACTCTAAGCTCTAGTTCACGTTTAAATTTAGAAATATCTATTTTCTTCTCATAATTTTGTGATTTGACTATGCAGAAATCTGGTGCTTTGAGGCAGCCTTCTACTCTGTTCCTCTGGCAACTTTTTTCTTGTGTGATGACTTTAATAGAAAATTTATTAAGGTTTTCACACCAATGCTAATGGGCAGAATAAAACACTAATCACTCAGCCTAAATTTAATGAGGAACTGACCACTGACTGTTCAGATGATTCCTAATTTTACGAACATGATAAAAATCATTCAAACTATTATCCAAATTATCCATACTAAGATAGACTATGTAACACATACATGTCCTCTTGAACATGACATGTTGAAGTCCTGTCATTGTGCCATTTGTTCCAGGCAGTAGCTGACTGGAACAGGTTTCCGTATTTGTGACGTGTTTGTGATTTGCATTATAGTTTTAATCCATTTTTCCTGAAGATTCCCCACCCACCCTGACAAAAGAGTAGAGGAATCAACAAAGTTTGAAAATTATAACTAATGGGTGCATATGTTTTTGTTTCCAGTACCATAAATATGAATTGGCAACGTTAACCCATCCATCACTGTTCACCTATAGGAAGTTTGTAGTTTGTGTGAGTAGTGACTGCATATATATTGGCTTTTGCTATGTATGGTGTTTTTGTCACAACCATTAATGAACATGCTTAATATTCATTAGAAGTTTGAGATGCACTTGTTGACACCTCACACATTGTGTAGTTTAGCAAGGAGAGGATTTTATTATGTCACACATATGCACAGCCATTAATTAGAAATGTGAATATTTAATGAGAAGGGTCAGAGCCTTAAAAATCTGCATAGGTTTAATTTGGCAGGAGATAGGTCTGCATTGCTTTGGCCATGAGAAGTGATCAAATCACCACTGGGAAGTCTCGTGGAAGTGTAGAAAGGTCAGCAAATTCGAATGGGAATTGCTGCACAATATCCTGTATAAGGCTAGGTGGACCCTTAGCTTTCCCAGCAAGTAACTGATTCTGAAACAGCCTGTTATCTTACCATCTCTCTGCTGTGTCAGTCTCCAAGCCAGAGAAGCTGTCTGGATCCATGCCTCGCCCAGGACTCTGCTGTCCTGTGGGACTCTGGTCTCAGGGAAGTTGGGTATAAGCACATCTGACAGTATCTGGAGGTAGAGCCCTGCACTTTCTGTAGGGGGAGTGAGGGGAGTAATCACACTGACCAAAAAACTAATTTCTGTGGCATGTTGTTTGAATATTTCAGCTCAGCACAGAACCTCAGGGGAGACATAGTTCCTCCCGGAGCTCACCACATCTTTATGGACATGCAACTGTCCTATTATTTAAAGCCAGTATGTGCTGCCCTGTCACCCCTGCTAACTGCCATTTGGAAGTGCTCATTGCCATTGCTTCCTCTCAGGTTGTTGGGGGGTACAGATGCTGGCAGGCTGTAGCACTTATGCAGTGGTCAGCAATGGGTCTACAATTCATGCCTGTGTGAAGGAACCTCTTTTGATCATCTCCCACCATCCTGATATAAAAAATTGGTCATCACTTTAATCTCTGCAGGATATCCAGAGTCAACATTTGCCTCTGTTCTTCCTCAGTCCTGATGGGTTTAATACACATGTAAGCAAGATCCCTAAAACTCCTTGAGCATAAATGTCATGAGCTTTAGCTCTTCGGTGCAGCACTTGCTGTAATAATGCTTCTTTGGTTGTGTAGTCAGCAGAGAGCTCTCTGTGATTTTACATATTTTTCATCTCAAGTCACATCTAAACGTAAAATCCAGTGCTCAGGGATGTTATATGGATTTGTGACATCTTTTGCTGGACTGCAGAGTAATGAAGCAATGACTAGATTATGCAGCCTCCCCTACATGTATTTCTTCACCTCTGGCAGATGTAATACTGATAATATCCTTCATTTAATATGTCATTTCCCCAAGCATAATTCAGTGGGGGTTACCAATATATTTCTCTCTTTCACTTAGCCTTTCGTAATATGATCTTCGAGAGAATTTGGCAGAGCAAAAATTGCATTTAAGAAGGTAAGGAGGAAAGTGCATTAGTGTGGCAGGCAGGAGTACTATTCTGAACAAAGGTAAAGGCAAAATTTGTTTGCTAAGACATCTCATGTGGCACGTGTTGGTTAGCAAAGTAGCTCGGACTGTGTGGTTGAAGAGTATTGTCACATTATGACATATGGCAGTAGGGAAAACCAGCCATAGTTTCCCAGGCCTTCAGATACAGCAAATGGAAGATGGACTGTCTGATTTACTGACAACATTCTTCAAATCTGCTCCACATTTTCAGCTGACATTGGTGCTGAGAAGATAGCTGTGATAAGGACAAGGGAATTCTGTGTGTAGCTTCTGGCTGTCACAGACAAAAAGGAAGCATGAAAGCCCATGAGTAGTTCTCATTCTCACTGGAAGCCAGCATGCCTCCACCAACACTAGTCTTACTCCTTGCACTCAGAGGTTAAAGACTGAGAATCCTGTACCAGACTGGGAAAATTTGAGACATTTAATACATATAATTGTGATGCCAGAATGTGTGTAACTTGGGTCTAGCTGAAATCTCAGGCTTGCCATAGACTTCACTGCAGAAAAAAGCTTTCTATTAGCATTTTGACTCTTCTACCAGATTTGTTGGGTTTTAAAGTTGGAAGACCATCTATCTGCCTAATACCCCACGGAAATTTAAATTTTTTAATTTAGTGGTCTATCCATGTACAGAAGCTAGCAAACAGCAAAGTAAGCTGTATTTTAAAACATTATTCATTACTAAAAAATCAGTTTCTAGAATTAGTTCAAAAGTTCTTGTTTGCACTTACTCAGGTTCATTGATACTGCTTTTTGATTTGCATAATCTAAGAATAGATGCCATTTTGGTTCTATAAATTAGGAATGTATGAACTTTTGTTGTTGGTTTTCTTTGCTGCTTTACTTGTTTTTATCAGCTCTGAGTGATTCCTTACCCATTTCAAAATGTGATTCTTCACAGCTAAGAAGGGAGCTGCTTTCTTGAGAAATTCCTGCTTTTTATTACATCAAGCAAAGATATTAATTCATTTGTAACTGTGAATTACATTTAAAAAAAAAAAAAAGAGAGAGAGAGAGAGATAGGAAGGCCGCCTTCTCAGAGACATAGCTTTCTGTAATATGAAGCCTTAAGCATAGGAAGTTCTGTGTGTCATGGCAAGAACTTACCTTTTCCTTTCAAACTTTTGAAATGAAGTTCTGGCAAAGCTTTCACTTTTGCAACTCACTAGGAATTGAAGGACAGGGAGAGGAACCAGCAAAATGCTAGTTTATGCATTTAATTCTGAAACACAAATGCTTGCCATTTACCATTTTTATTCCTCATTTTCTTTCTTCCAGAAATCTCCTGTATGTTTACCCTCAAAGGCTGAATTTTGCTAACCGACCGGCTTCTGCAAGAAACATTACCATCAAGATCCAGTTTATGTGTGGTGAAGACCCATCCTGTGCAATGCCGGTAACAAATGCTGAGATCTCTTAGCAGACTTTTGCTTACATTTATTCTTAAGGACCCCCTGAAGAGATAACTCATCATCACAGTTTCTAGTGGGCCTTTAGATAGCCTAACATCAGAGAGCTTGTGAAGCTTGTCATTCTCATCAGAAAGCAGGGCTGTAGTCCTTACCCAAAACAGGAAAGACTTGTGACTCGAGTGGAACAGAGGCATATTGCTCCCTCTTTTCTAAGTCTTCCTACCTCACTTTGAGAAGAGTGACATCATATTAAATCAGTGCTGTCTTGAAAACTCTGACGGTAAAATTCACAGAGCTTCAGAGGCTTTTGAATAATCATGTAGTCTTTCTTCCAGTATCACTTGTCCGTATGCATTGTGTGTACAAAAATACTCAGGTGTAACACCAGAAGGTAGAAGGTGGGATCTTCATTGCCTGGATCTGAATGGTGCACAGTCAGGCAGTGGAGATAGTTTTCCATGTTTGAAACGCGCCATATATTAGGACACTTGTGTGCATTGCTGGAGCACGCAGCACTGTCTGTGTTCAGGTTATTCAACATTTCTCTTTTATAAGATCCTCTCTTCAGCGTTACCAAGCTTCATAGGATCCGTTTGAAGTGATCTAACCCAGATGTCTGCTTCAGCCTGAATTTTTTGGGAAATTTTCAGATGGTGTATTTGGCTGACATTGGGATGAATGACAAATGGGATAGAATCTTTTGTGATTTTATGTGTTAGTGGAGGGGGAAATTAGTAGAAACATTACTTTGAGAAACTTTAATCCAACAATGTGTTGGAGCAAGGACTGATGCGTGACCAGCCTTTATCAGAGTGCTGAGTCTTCATAGTGCATACTTTGCAGCCTTATTCCACCTGAGCTCTGCAAGTCAGAGCATCAGCACAATGTTTTCCCAAGCCACATTTCTTCCAGAGCTGGAGCTTTGCCCTGTGAATGTAACACTATTTTTTACATAATACTGCATTGTTGGTTTCCTTAAACTCTGCCCATATTACAATTTTCATTTCAATATGGATGGACTTGTACTGCACAGATATCCTTGTCTAAGCTCATCCCCCAGGGTTTGCTTTAAAGTTAGTGGATTCTAGGACCTTACCGTGAGGCTGTGTCTGAAACAAGGGAAGCAAAACAAGCACCAAAAATGCCTGTTTCTCTTCATTGATTCTAAAGGAATTTTAGACCTCTAAGGCAAGGTGAAATGATGTATCTCACACTAAATGAGCAGGCTACAACCATAAAACAAACTTCTAAAAGTGGTTTTAATTTAACTTTTCAAGATTTACTTAAAGGCAATGTGACAGGGTGTAAGAGGTTTACCATAACTTCATTCCCGCAATTCCTAGCTTTTAAGTGCATGGCTGGAGAGTGGGATGTGAGGTAGTTGGTGGCCCTGTAAATGACCTCTGCTCCATTTTCCTGGTGTTTTACCCTGGATGGTGTGTTGGAAAGATGCCTGATAATAAGACAACCATGTCGATGTGCTACATAAAATTGAGGAGTCATTTTCAGCCTTCAGATAGTGTCTTAAAATTTATAAACGATGATAACAATTCAATTCCTTAGACCTGACTACTGTTACTTTCTTTTCTTCTTAATGAAGGTAATTTTTGGGAAATCTTCAGGTCCAGAATTTGTACAAGAAATATACACAGCTATCACATACCATAATAAGTAAGTATTGTTACTATTTGTGTAATTAATTCATAGCCTACACAGTTCAACAGGGAATGCTGGTACTAATCCATTTCAAACATTTATGTTTTCTGCAGATTTGTCCTATCTAGTTTGGATTGCTACATGCATTTGCCTAAGTGACCGTTGCTTTTCTTGTTTTGAGCTTTTCAAAGATTAGTTGAGACTATTCCTAATGTGAAGATTAAGGAGCAGGAGCAGGGAGCAGCAGCACAACTTCATAACAGCATTTACTTTGATGAATTCACAGCCTCAAAAGAGCTCTCATGAATGTGGACTTAGGGTTTTAGGGTTTACACAATAAATATGCTGGAACCCCAGATTAAGATGGAACAGCTTTGAAAGCATAGAGATGGGTGAAAGCTGAAATGTTGCAGCTGATACCATCTATGCTCTTCCTGATTCAAAGCTGTAGGTAGTTCATAAATATAGCTATATATTTATATATATATATACACTTTGTTTAACACATCTCTGAGGCTGTTTTCAGTATTTATAAAGTTTTTATAACCATAGCATCTAAAAGCCTAAATTTGCTTTCTGCTCAGTCTCATACCTACATTGGAAATGTGTTTGGCATTGTTTTTTAAACAGGTCCCCTGACTTTTATGAAGAGGTGAAAATTAAGCTGCCAGCAAAACTCACAGACAAACACCATCTATTGTTCACGTTCTATCACATCAGCTGCCAGCCAAAGCAAGGAGCATCTATAGAAACCCTTCTTGGGTATTCAGTAAGTCCCATGTGATATATAATTGTATGTGTATACATACATACCTACATCCCATGAAAACAGACTCTTTGCTTATCAAGATGCTTATCAAGGATATTCCCCTTCTGGTTATGATAATACATCAGAAACAGTAGAAGGTCTTAATGTTAATTCACAGAAACCAGACACAACTTGTGCTATGTTACATCCTTGTCCTATAATTCTAAGTGGCTTTGAAGTTGATGAATTCACCTGAAGCAACTGAAATTAAGTATGCACCTAAATATTTGCAACAGCAATGCTTTATAGCATGTTGCCTAATTCTGTTAGATTCTGTTTATTGCCAAAAAACCCCACTAAAACGTAGGCAATTACATTTTACTGTTATGTAACATATTCATAAATGAGGTAACAAGTAACATAACATTTTCAGTTAAGTTCTATATGGCATATAGGTTATGTTCTTAAGTGTCTCTTACCCACATCAAAATTAAAAACCAGAAAGAAATCTAGAAGGTAAAATGCAATTCTCTTGCACTTGTTACCTTCATGTTGAGATTAGCATGTTTTAGCCTAAGAAATGCATATCATAGATTAGTCTCTGAGGTTTTTCCTTATCAATCAATATTTTTAACCAGAGGGATTTTAAAGTAAGACGAAAGCACAGATGATGTTAATACTTCAGATTTGAAAACATCCTCATCCTATGCTCAACACTTGAGCTGTGGGGCCAGACAAGTGCTTTCCATGTGCTTCTGCCATGAAGTTTGTATTTGGTTTTGATCCCAGTACTGAAAATCCTTTCAAATGGGCATCCTTTCAAATGTTTTATAGACAGATATAATCCCACCAATGTTAATGGGATTGGTAAGAAGTAAATTAGTTCAGATGCAAGACTTGACATAGGGGAGGACTTCATTTTCAGGCTTCTGTTCACCTAAATACAAATTATTTCAGCCCTGTGATGCTCAAATGCGCAGCATCTTTCAGATTTGACTAGGAGAAAATTTAAATGTGTCCAGATATCAATACAAAGTTATGATGAGTCATTCTGGCCTTAATCCTCCTGGTTACCATGACCAAGTTGTTCAATTTACTGTTAGCAATACCTTAACACAGTTGATTTGCTTCAAAGCAAAGGACCCGTCTATTCCAGATAAGTGAATTTTTTAAATTAAAACATGGAGTCTAATAAATCCTTCTGGTAGAATTTATTAGAAAAATACATTGCATATTAAAAGCTCTGTGTTTGTTTTCTTCAAAAAGGATGGTTTGTAAAGCAGTCTTGTACATTTTTCTACAGTAGCTCTCAGTGAATTTAAAATGCATAGAAATTACTGTTGAATGGGTTGGAGCAGAGAAGCTTGGGTCAATATCTCATTTGTTGTTTTGTTGGCTGTACATAACAAATTCAATAAATAGTCCCTAATCATATATAGTCATGAATATTGCTGTGTTTTCATCTGTTGCAGTGGCTGCCGATTCTGTTAAATGATCGTCTTCAAACTGGACATTATTGTCTTCCAGTTGCATTAGATAAGCTGCCTTTCCATTATTCAATTCACTCTCCTGAGGTAACAAAGAAAATTATGAAAGTATGATCTTTTCCTAATGTAGAAGAACAGCATAAGTGTTTTACAATCTAATGTTGCTATCTGCTTGTAGACAATGTCCCCTTATTGTGCTTTAGAAGGGGAAAGGTCTGGAGAAAAATGTTATTATTGTCGTTGGTGGTATTATTATTCTTTTATATTGTTATTTTTTTTTAAGGTTACTGATCCAAGCAAATGCTTGTAAATTGTCTAACCAATGACACATTTGTTTATAGGGTGTCAAGTCAATAATTTGCTTTCTTCCATAGGGATGATTTGCTTATTTTTTAGTGGCTGTGTGGGAGAGGGAGGAGAAATAGGATCAGGTGCTGCTACTGGAGCAGAAAACTGTGCCCTCTAAGTAAATATGCAAGCAGGAAACTGTCCAGATGGTTAAAACTGCACCGTATCACCGTGACTTTAGGGAACTTTAACTGGGAACTTCTAACCTTAAAAATATCCCGTTAGAAGATGTATATTTGCACTGACTGTGCTAGTCGTCCAGCTGAAGTACTTCAAATTTCCCTGTTCAATGCACAACTTTCTCTCCATCTTGTCTTTGAGAATAAGATGCCTAGCTGTGGTCTTCTTTATGCCACTGAATTCAGATATCTAAAATGAAGTGACTAGCATGAATTCCCTACAGACAGCCAAGTAAACAGACTTTATGTTTGATTGTTAAAAGTAAGATGATAGTTCCCATATTTCTTCTCCATCACAGAAAGTTCCATCTCAGACACCACCTATTAAGTGGGTTGAAGGGCACAAGGGTGTTTTCAATGTGGAAGTGCAAGCTGTTTCATCTGTTCACACCCAGGTAATGCATCAGAAGTAATGCCACATCTGTAGTTTCATTTCAAAGAGAAATCAGATGTCTAGGCTGACTTAGAAGGTTTATGAAATCAAGGTGTTTAAGCCCACAGATGTTTAAAGAAACTAACAGATATGGAAATAACCTGTTATTCCCAGTGAATGAAATCCTTTGGTGAAATTAAATCTCTTGGTGCAAGTGAACAAATGAGCACTCTTAGCAGAAAGTCATATCAAGCAATAAGGAGCCTGGTATCCTCTCAGCTCAGCAAGGATCTGCTTAGGTTGTCATTGACAGACATTGACAGGGCACAGTGCCAGTCTCTACAGCTGGCATTTTCTATTCTGCTAGTTGAGTGTGTCCATATTGGCAAAGACATAGCACTCCACTACCTATAGGGACAGGTTATATTGCCAAAATGCTTTAGGCAGATCATTTGCCAATGGCATGTGGTTTGTGGACACAAGCTGAATGAGAACTCTATGTTTCTGGACATTTAAATGTAATAGGAAATTGAAGCTTTCCCCATATTGTTGGGGTACTGGTTTCAAGCACAGCGGCTTTAATTTTTTTTTTCTGTTGCTTTACAGTGTCTCCTATCTGTCATCCCATTCTAGTTAACCCTGATATCTGTGTCCTAAAAAATGGAGGCTCTGTGTCTGAAGCAGGTCCATCACCCCTTTGCTTTTTAAATACAAGTGGGATGTAATAACATGTATGTAGCCGAAACTTATAGGTGTGGGTGGCAGAGAGACTATAGACTTGTGACATGATGGACATATATCTGAGAGAGGGAACAGTATTTTCATAAAATGAAGCAATCACTTTAGCATGGGCTTTAACTTTTCTGCTTTTATTCTGACCTAACCACAGTCTGAATGTGAGCCAGATGAAATGCAACAAAGATTGTGGCAGCTGCTTTACAAATCAGGCTCTAGGGCTAGCCATCACTGCAAGCTAGAAGGGTGAAAATATTTTCTCTCATCCCATCAGGTGGGACAATCAGGCTTTGCTTAGCTAGCAGCAATGTGAATTCTATCAACTTTCTTAACTGTGGGTGCACTGTATTTGCAGGATAATCACCTGGAGAAATTCTTCACTCTGTGCCATTCTCTGGAAAGTCAAGTGACCTTCCCCATTAGGCTGATGGATCAGAAAATCACAGAGGCTACACTGGAACATGAACTGAAACTCAGCATAATCTGTTTGAATTCCTCACGCCTTGAACCTCTTGTATTGTTTTTACATTTGGTACTAGATAAACTTTTCCAGCTGGCCATACAGCCCATGGTCATAGCAGGCCAGACAGGTATTTATTGATGAGTGGCCTTGGAGTGCTATTGCAAGAAACCTGGAGACGTGGAGGAAATGATTGCTAAATATCAAGGCTCAGATTTAGTCTTTGGAGTAGTCCACTTCAGAAAGTGTTGTGCTTCTCAAGACACATTTTCACTGCACAATTTAATCAGATTTAACTGGGTTCCTGCCTTCTTTCCTTTTCCCCCTTCACATAAGACTCTCAGACTCTGGTTGGGAGCTACATTAAATTGTAGTACTTTACTTACCTGGCAATATAGGTTAGAAGGTGGGTTGTGGTTTAGCTTTGTTTAAAATTCAGCTGTTGTGCAAGGAAAACATCATCAAAATCACCCTACAGCTGACATTGCTGACTGCACCGTATCCTCTGCCCAAATATCTTTAGACAGAATTGGGTGAGCACAAAAACAGACAGGGTATAGTAATGCACACAGATTTTTCTTTTACTGAGGCTGCCAGTTGCCCATCACATGTTAATTTGGGGTGGAAGACATACTTGGAGGGAGTGGTGTAGTTTATTTCCTATCTAATCTTAGTAATCAATGCTTGTCATCCATTATAATATTTGTGGAAGAGCCTGGTAACTTGTATTTTTCTGTCAGCTGGAGAAGAATGAGTCTTAGTGTTCTTCAAGTAGATATTTTATAAGAAATGCCTGAAGGCTGCTAGAAATTGTAATTAACAGTTAGGGTCTGCTTTTATGTAGCAACAAGTGATTAAGTCACAGTGATTGGGTTGAAAGCCAGTGGTTCTACTGAAGAGTCGTTATTTGCCTATGTAAATCTTAGATCTGGTCAGGTACAGCAATTGCTGTGAAGGACTGAATATATAGGATATAGAATAGGTATATAAGATTAGTTGGTGTTGGTAATCCAACTAAGAATCCCTAACCTGATTAGGCTATAGCCTTTAGCACTGAGACTAATTCTTGCCTTTTGTTCCACAGCCAACTTCTCACAGTTTGCCTTTGAATCTGTGGTTGCAATAGTAAACAGCCTCCACAACAGCAAAGACCTGAGCAAAGATCAGCATGGGAGGAACTGCCTCCTGGCGTCTTATGTCTACTATGTATTTCGGTTGCCAGACCCTCAAAGAGAAGTAGTCAGACCAGGTAATGTTGGTGCAAGGGTTGCAAAAACATTCTTTTCTCTTCATATATGCTATTCAGCATGGTGCTTCTGAAAGGAAGACTTAGGGAACTGGCCTGTAAAGTGACAAACACAACTCCTCAGACCCAAACTGCAAACCTTTTAAGTGCAGCACTGTTCAGATATATTGGTTTTCTCAGAGGAAGGTCAGAGACCTCAGCGCTGCACAGAGCAACATGGACTTACCCTCCACTATCTGTATCTCAGTCCTTTGTTTAAGATGCAGGGTCAAGGTAAGAGGACAGTTACGTGCAATGCTGTAGCTTCATGAAGATGAAAGTGAGAGACATCTCTTAAACTGAGGTCTTCTTTAGAGGAATTTCCTCCAGTAATGAAAATGGCCTTAAAATGTCAATTGCTTACTGTCCTGTATATCAGTAAACTACTTCCCATGCAAACTAACTTATTGCCAAGAGGCATAGGGCCAATTTCTGCTGGTTTCTCCACTGCAAATTTCTCCTTTGATGTCATCAAAGGCTAAAACCCTGTATGTTGGACAGCAGATGGAGGGAGATGATCCTTCCTTTCAGCACTGATGAGGCCTCTTCTGGAGTACTGTGTACAGTTCTGGGCTCCTCAGTATAAGAGAGGCATGGGCTTACTGGAGAGACACCAGCCAAGGGCCACATAGTGTTAAATGTTACGTGTTGAAGGTGTTATTTTGTGTTTAGGCATGTGAATCTTGTCTTAATCTACAGCACATTAAAAAGACCTTATGGGAAGAAGAAAGAGCTACTGTAATAGTAGAGAATGCCCGGAGAAGCTGTGGATGCCCCATCCCTGGCTGTCTTCAAGTCCAAGCTAGACGAGGCTTTGAGCAGCCTGGTATAGCGGAAAGTGTCCCTGCCCATGGCAGGGGGGTTGGAACTAGATGATCTTTAAGGTCCTTTCCAACGCAAATCATTCCATGATTCTATTCTACAATAGTGCCGCTGTTCACTATTCACCTGATAATCTTTTATTATGGCTTGTGCAATCACCCTCTGAGCTATTGGCTTTGAAAACATCTGCACCTTGTCATTCAGTGCCAATGTAATTTGTTACTGAAGCAGTTGATGGTGAGATTTTCGGGAGCTCCATGCTATGGATAACGCTGATGCTATAGCAGCACTGAACAAAGCTGGATTGAATGTCGCGTTTGCCTCATGTATATGTCCTTTAGTCTATTCAAACATCTTCCTGTGGGCAGGTGCAAGCAACAGTGCCGTTTTGACAGAGTCTCGTTATTACACATTCGGACGCACTTCTGCTGTGTCTGTTGGGAGTAAACTCCTGCAGAGCCGAGTGATAAGCTGCAGCAATCCTGACATTGCTGTTACACAAACTGCGGCTGATGAGGAGGTCAAAAGCATCATGTCATCCAAGGTAAGAGAACAAAGTCAAATATCTGGAAAATTGTATGGACTAAAACCTAAAAATCTAGATCTGTTTTTCGAGGGTTGGATTTGCTTCTTATAAATGCACTGTGTGTATCACCAGAAGCATTTGCTGTTTATCTGATTTGGCATGGGCACATGTTGATTCCCATTGCTAAATTTTCATGTCTCTTATCAGTAAAGACAGCAAGGTGTAAGAACTCTGTCTGTGTTTGAGGCTTAGACACTCCACAGCAGCATTTGCTTTTTGACACTCTCCTGTTCTTCTTGACATGGAGTGACATCTGGTGACATGGTCTGGTCCAGGATGCACAGAGTTAGTGTGAGAAAAGACTATAGATTATACTGGGAACGGATTCACTTTCTGAAAGGGGTAAAAGATTCCTCAGAAGGGAAATTGTTTTCCTAAAATGCACTAATAATTTATTCTTGTCCCTTTTAACTCTTCTTCTTTAGCCTGTTCAATGCTAAATAGTTTCCTGTTAAAATAAAAACCAAACAAACAGAAAACATTAGGCAGCTCCATGATTTTATATTCGCTATGGTACAGACGCCATGTGCATATTTTATAACTGGGTCTTTCCAAATACTTAATTCACCCACAGCATGAATCAGAAACTTCCTCTGTCTTTCTTACTCAGCACTACATGTGCCACCAAAGCTTGCAGGATAGAAAGGATGACGACAGCCAAGAAATCAGGATTTTGCTTCCCTGGTGTTTGCTGGTCTGCAACACCCCCTGCTCACTCAGACAGCTGTGAGGACAGCTGCACTCAGCTCCCCGGGGAAATGAAAACCTAGAGGTCCTCATTCAGTGGGAGGTGGGAGGCTGTGCCCCTGACAAAAGCAGGGGTTTTCCCCTGTGCAAGGAGTCGCCTTCTGGCTGCAGCCCTGGCAGAGCTCCACAGAAGCATGTTGAGGGTCTAAGGTCTGAACCACATCCCCCTTCCCTTTTCTTTGAGTGTTAAGTATTAAAAATATGGCTTCTCAAGCAGGTTATTTTCAGAAACTTTTTGAAGTCTTTTCTCCGTTGAATGGTCATGTACTTCTCCAGTTTAAGTGACTGGGTGTTTGTCTTCAGTAAATTAAACCAGAACTAGTAAGATGCACAGGCTTTGCTAATCTATTTGATTTGTTTATATGGGCATACATGTTCATCCATAGCAATTTTTACCCTTATGTATTGTGTTCTAAAAAAAAACAAAACTCGAGGCATTTTTAAGTTTTCCGAATTAATACAAAATTAGAATGTTTGATATTACATCTTCATCTCATTAATAAATGTAGCGATTTACAATGCTTCGGTGTCTACTGACATTTCACTGCCTTTTAAATTACCATTACTTTTAATGGAAGGAAGACTACCACGTGCTCGTTAATTTCGGACGTTGATCCACCGGATAAACTTAAAGGACAGTTACCCTTGAGAGGGTGAAAAAAATACAGCTGCAGTGCTGAAACTGGGCACGTGGCGGCAGTGTTGGCATTTGCACGCTACTGCGGCTGCTGCGGTAAGGTAGCGTTTGGTATCCATTGGGACGGGGGACAGGGAGAAGAAAAGCGAAGAGCCGTTTAACTGAATACCTGTGCATACCTTCCAAAAAAAAAAACAACAAAAAGAAAACAACACTGCTGCTGCTTTCTTCTGTTAATTACTTTATGTTATGTATTAACATACTACTATGTATTTATTCTGGCCATACCCTCCAGCCTATGGATCACAGCTCCAGTCGGATGTCTCTCTACGTGGAAGGAACAAATGACACGTCAAGCGTTTGTGCGAACTCAAGACCATCCAATAAAAAGGTAGCCTACCACTAAGCGTGAGGGCACACATTAACAGAACCTGGACCCTCCTGAGGCAGTGCTAGTAATTAGTGCTTCTAACAAGGAGATGGGAGAGAGAGAACAAATAACAATCAATTCTACTGAACATGGATTTTAGAATATTGAATCAGTGGGTAAATATTGCCCAAATACTCCTTCTTCTCCTCCAGAGTCTTTAGATTCTTTTCCAGGACAGATTTAGACAAGTAGCAGCCTGCCTGGATCCTCGCTTTGCTCTCTTTCTCAAGGTGTTAGGGCCTCTATCTTTTTCCACTGCTGTTTACCCTTGGATACCTGCCTTTACATGTTACAATAAACTGCATTCACTAATGTTCTCCATCTCTTTCTTATGTGAAGAATGTTTTTCTTTTCCCCTTTTTGTAGCTTTTAGAATCAAGAAATTAATTCCTATCTTGATTATGTATTCCCAAATTACTTTTTAACAACATAGAATATACCATATCACATAGATATTTCTTCCTGAGTTGTGTCTTGTGTTTGGCACTGGTCAGCAGGAGAGTGGCTGTGGATGAAGGAGCAGGGGAAAAACTCTGCAATGATCAGTTCAGAGTCTGACTTACTTGAGGTTGAAACTGAAAGATTAGTTGATTGAAAAGCCATTGCCCAACACCCTGTGTTTATTATCTAGCATTTCCATGAGGAGCTGGCACTGCAGATGGTGGTCAGCACGGGTATGGTGAGAGAATCTGTCTTCAAGTATGCCTGGTTCTTCTTTGAGCTCCTGGTAAGTTCTTACAGAAGTATTTTATAGCAAGTTAATGGTGAAATCTAGCAGATACTCCAGGCAGAGATTTGGCTGGATCATGATCTCTTCAGTTATTAAAACTGAATGTGAAAGGGGAGGTCCCAGATAATGGAAGTACAACTAAAGAATTCTCCATATTCACCCCAATTTCCCACTGACAGCCTGTGTTGGCAAAGTCTGTGAAATACATGCACAGTGGTCCACAGCTTGCATAAGGCTGATAGACAGATGTCAGGTTGAGTCCTTCCTTTTTTGTGAATACCTTTTCCTGTCTTTTCCACTTTGTTAACAACATGGGAGCAGGGACAAGGGTCCCCAGACTTCAAATTTCACAGAGCCCTGAAGTGATGGGTGCCAGTGAAAACTCTTTTGACATAATGGTTTCTACTAGCAGCATATAGACAACCCAACAGCAGGTCAAGAAGTAGAAATTAATTCCAGTGGTGTCACTCCCTGTCTGTCATCACAAAGGGCGAAGTTGCAAACAGCAGCATTTTGGAGCTGCAGATGCCAGGGCCTGGGGAGAATGATACTGATTTCAGGTGCAGAGAGTAGCCAACTGCATGAACATGAACAGGAATCAGAGTCTGTCTGTGTTCAAGTATTAAGTTCTCTATGGTCTTTGCCAGTACATGTAGGATTTATCATAGTGGCTCTAAGATGTGAGTGATTACACTCAGGGACAAACATACAGGGAATCTTACTCCCATGGACTAACTTAAAGCAGTTTTACCTCCAGTTTGGGCTGGGTTTTTCCTGCTTTGCAGATAAAGAGTATGGCTCAGTATGTTCACAACATAGAGAAGCAAGACAACCCACGAAGGAGCCGGTTCTCCGATCGCTTCAAAGATGATATTACCACTATAGTCAGTGTGGTTACATCAGAGATCGCTGCACTTTTAGTCAAACCACAGAAGGTAAATTTGTAACCATTGTTGTCTACCAGAAACTTTTTCTGGAAGCTTTACCTTTTGCTTGATCCTTTGGTGTGCTTTTGTGATAGTCATGTGCAGAGAAATTGATTTCACATAAATGTTTACTTAAGGCATCAGTGACATTTTTTTTTTTTAAATATGTTGTGTAATAAAAATTTGTTACATTAAAAATGTGTTAATGGAACTGTAAGTTTTGCCAAGAGATCAGTATTTTATGGCTTCCTCATGAGAAATACACAGGTTTTTATGGGCTGTTAATTCAAATCTGTTTTGATACAGTGAGTGTATAGAGCCTGATTATATGTGAAAATCCCACTGCAGTCTTTGCAGAATTAGGGCCATTGGTTAGTTGTACAGAGCAGCAGTAGGTAATATGTGTCTGAGGAGTAATAATCCATGTTTCAATATATGGTTGAGCATGTTAGATTGTCCTGGGCTTCTGTGGTAATATCTCTGGCATATTTTAGTTTATCCAGTAAGGTAGTGGAAAACTACCTTCATTTTTCTTTACAGCGGAAAAATGTTTTACTGTGTAAATTCCAGATTGTAGGAATATATGTGTATATTTTATCTCAACAGCAACAAAAATATTAAAAAAATGAAAAATTAAATTGCAGCTGCCCTAAGGTGCTGCACACCTGCTCTCACTAGTGAGAGACAACAGCAGGGATAATATTTTTCTCAGTCATCTCCTCTGTCAGTCTTTAGTGAACCCACCTGATAGCTCTGAGCATTAAACGTGTGCAGATCCCTCAGGCACCTCCACAAATGTCTCTTGGTGAACTACATATGCTACTGAGACTTTATGATTTAAATTGGTATGTTTGAAGTAAGGGTAGCCTTATCTTTGTGATTTTTACTTGGTAGCTGCACACCTCTGGTAGTCAGGCCAATTATAAACATAAAAGAGCTTAGCTGCTAAATTATAAACCCCACAGATTTATCTTACTAATATGTTTTTACTATCAGTTTTACACTTAAAATTTCTAGACAAAATACTTGGCATTCCACCAGCTGAGCCAGTGCAGATTTTTATTAATATTTTAAAATAGTATTTTTTTTTTTTAGTACTTAAGACAGCATTCTCTACGGTTTGGTTAAAAAAAAAGAAAAAAAGTGGCATATGCAGGATTGCAGCCCCTAAGGAAGTTAGAACAGGCCTCAAATTCCATTTCAGTGTTGTCTGCCCAAAGGTTTGTGTAGATCAACTTGTTCATTCACCCTATGATATTTTTCTGTGAAAGCTACAAGAGTTGAAATTATTTACAGGAGTGATTCTGTATAATTCTAACAAGATCATGTAAATTAAAGAACTCAAACAATCTTGTCCAGTCTGTTCATAGGATGGCTCTGGGAGCTGTCCTCTGCACTATTTGTTAATGATTCTAAAAAGTTTTCCACCCTTATATGACTTTCATACATCATAACTACAACTCACTTTTTCCCCCTTTTTCTTTTAAGGAAAGTGAGCAAGCAGAAAAAATTAATATCAGCCTGGCGTTTTTCTTGTATGATCTTCTTTCTTTAATGGACCGAGGATTTGTGTTCAATCTCATCAAACATTACTGTAATCAGGTAGGCACTATGCATGACTGAGATTGCATTTGGCTTATCGCCAGTACGGTGTTCTGTTCTGTTTGATTCATTTATACATCAAGATCCTCTGAGTTGTGTTAAAGGGTATGGTAAATTTCCTATTTCCTACTGTATATGCAGAGTCTTTAAACCTCCTTTGATTTGTGGTCTGCAGAAAAAAATTGACTGGAGGTTAAGACTCTTTTAGAAATGTCATACCTTGCACTGCTGCAGAGCTTCCATGGAGCCACTTTTCTTCCCTTACTTTTTTACATGCGTTAGCAGCAGGGCCTGCAGACCGTACAGGACAGCTTTTGGCCTCTGACTCTTCCAGTGCACTGCGATGGACAGTATATAGATTCAGAAGGGTTCAATTGAAATGATCCATCTCTGTCTTCTTGCTTTACAAGTTTCCAAAAATTAAAAATAAACAATGGTTGTAGGATGTTGGTATGAAATTATTTGTTGTATCTGAATGGGAAAGTTTTCCTTCTATTTTGTGACCTAATATACCTGCTGTAGATTTTCTGCCAAAGGAAGGTCCTCTGACAGCTGATGGTAGGTGCATAGTAGAAAAGGTGGGCTGCCACCCTGGTTTCATACAGTATGTGCAGTACTCCACTGATGCCATTGCTGCTGTGAAGGGAAATAACACAAGTACTGGTGCTCTGTGTTGCCTAGCAGGACTTTTGATGAGTTTGCCACAGGCGCAGCAGAATTTTATTTGGTTTTAATTTTTTTGTTATGCAAAAGGGAAAAAATATGGTAGGTTTTTTGTTAGGGAGGAAAAATAGAACAATTGATGGTCTCTTGGGAAGTTGGTAAGCCAGTCGGGCTGAGAAAGACACCACTACTACCAAAGACCAGCTAATGGGTGGGAAATAGTTAGGTACAGGGAACCAGTAAGCACTTCAATGGATGCTGGGCTATTTGGCTGTTTCAGGAAGCAGGATATTTCACTGCACAGTAGTGTAAATAGTGCATGCCCAACACATGATACTTTTTTTAATTTGTTTTTCTAGCTCTCAAACAAGCTGAATTCACTCTCCACCCTGATTTCCATGAGACTGGAGTTCCTGAGAATTCTCTGCAGCCATGAGCATTACCTTAATCTGAACCTCTTCTTCATAACCTCTTCTTCTGCTCCAGCATCCCCCTCCCCTTCCTTATCCTCCCAGGTAGGCATTCATCAGACAATATTGCATTAACATCACATGAAGCACACGTAGCGCAAGACTTCTGTTGCTCTGTATTCAGATACTTAGGTTAGACTTAGCCACTCTTGTATCAGGGGGAAGAACTTCCCCTTTGAAAGAAAAGGAGCAGAAAAATAAAGATTAAGGGAGTACTACTGCAAAACTGCATCTGCACAAGTTAAAACTTAACATAATACAAATATGTGCCCCACTAGAAACATGTAAACAGAAAATGACTGTTAGGGTAGATGCAGAAGGTCTAAAAAGAACATGGCTCTGAGGGCTAATTTACAGGTACATCTATATCCCGTACATACACAACCACAAATATGTATTTCAGTATCTACACTGGAAAATTATGGCATGCAGTGGTGCACAGCAAACTGCATGTTTGCTTTTAGCTGAACTTCTCGTTCTCCAAGTGGATGTGTATGCTACCACCATGTAAGTTAGTGACTAAAACACTGCAATTTTCAATATCCTGGAATCATGAATTTCTGTTGAATGTTGATGTTGTTGAGATCAGGATTATCATGCTTTCCCTTTCAAATAGCAGCATTCTTTGTTCCTCCCCACCCTAGTACTACAGATGATACTATGACTTTGCCAATTATTTCTTCGGATTTTCTGGACAGTGTTTTCCCTTTTATTTGAACTTTGAGTTTTCTGAGTGGAATCACTCAGGAATCCTCAATAGGCCTCTCCACACAATTTTTGTGAATGCTTTTCCTCATCACTTACTTCTCCCAGGATGTCATGACCAGTACATACACATTTTTCCAGACTTGACGTGATACTGACACAGCTCTAGACCTCCTGAATGTCAGGGCTTCCCATCCATCATCCTGGGCATGGAGATCACAAAGACATGCAATAAAGGAATTGTTGTCTGGCACGCCGCACACTATTTTGCTAGTCTTGTGCTTTTCTCCTCTACATTCTACCTGGATGGTATCTTGCTTTCACTACAGGACAGACACCCTGTGCTGGTTTTGATTGGGACAGAGTTAATTTTCTTCACAGTAGCTAGTATGAGGCTGTGTTTTGAATTTGTGCTGAGAAGAATGTTGACAGTACACTAATGTTTTCAGTTGTTGCCAAACAATATTTTCATTATGCCAAGGACTTTTTCATTTCCATACTGCACCTGTGTTCCCAGCTTCTTCTCTACAAAAAGCTGGGAGGAGGCAAAGCCAGCACAGCTGACCCAAACTGACCAAAGGGACATTTCATGCCATAAAATGTCTTGTGTGGTATATAACTTGAAGGGTATTGGCTGGGGATGTGTCTAGCTGTCTCTGGCTCTCACTTCTTGGGGTCTGGTTGGACGTCAGTCAGTGGGTTGTATCTTTTTTTTTTTTCATTGTTGTCTGCCTTTACATACTGCTAGTAGTAGTATTTTTCATCACATACTATCAGTAGTAGTAGTAATAGTGGTGGTGTTATTAGTAGTATCATTATTTAATTTATTTAAAATTATCAAACTGTTCTTGCATAAACCCATGAGTTTTCTTACCTTTTCCCCTGATTCTCTTCCCCATCCCACTTTTAGAGGGGGGAGGTGAGGAAGGAGCTGTGTGGTGCTCAGTTGCTGATTGGAGTTAAATAAACAACAACCCCCTAACAAAACGTGTTAGTTTGCCTGTTTTCCGACTCAGTGGTCTTGCAGAGGTCAGGACTGGGATGAAGCATTTCAGTGCAATTCCCCCCTAATTGTTACGGTCCTTGGATGCAGGGGAATGGACCCTAAGCTAAGAATAAAGGAACATACAAAAACACTCTGCGTAATGGAGCAGTTCAAATTCATGGTTTCTTTTTCAAATGTCATTGCCAAAGAATTCACTGGATGCTAAGATG